AGTTTGCGTCCTTTCTTCATCGATTTCGACCGTATCTCTATCCCTCTGATCGGCATCACCACCACCAGAGGGGCCACCTCCAGCGAGGAGGTCCACGATGCCTCCCCGAGTTCGGGATGGGGAGTGCCCCGAGCGAGCGGGGAGACCACACTGCCAGGGTGACTCCTGCTGGCTCCTCCCGCTGGTGGTCCCTTGTGGTGATTTTGTCGCCGTTCCTGCAGGGAGGGGCAAAGGCAAAGCTCACACTCACGCGTTCTGGCGCGTTCGCGCCGCTGCGGGGGGGGGGAGGAGGGGAAGGAAGCGAGGGCGCGGGCCCCGCCCCGGCGCTCAGCCTCCTCCAGCTTCCAGGGCCACGGTCGCCGCCATGCGTGGCTAATGGGGGGACCGGGATCGGTCTCGGGTGGATTGGTCTCGGAGGCCCCCAAAGTCACGGGCAAGGTTAGATGGAGGACAGGCTCAGGGCGGAATGCTAGAGGATCGAGATGAGGGCCGAAGACCGACGTCAGTTTTTGCAAATTTTGAACAGCACTGGCTGTCGATGTCGCCGCGGACGCTGTCCATTTGAGACGACGTAGCCTGCCCAATAGCGGCCGCGGTCGACTTTGGACAGCATTTGCTGTTGGGCATCGTACCCACTTCTTATGCCCAGGAACGTGCGGATTCGCTTTCGGGGTTCATCGCCGATCCAACCGCGATGCATCACAGGTTCCAGCTCAACCAGTCCCCCCCCCCCCTGAGCCGGTCCCCCCCTGACGTTCCCCCTCAAAACGGTGCGGTGACCACACCGTGTGGTACAGTCGGGGCTCTGAAAGGAACCCATTTCGTTGGGGAGGGGGGGGGCTCCGTGTTCGTTAATGGTTTCACAGTGTGCCTTTGGTTGTTCATCGGATGGGAAATCGAAGTTCAATTTATGGAAGAAGCGGGCTCGTTCCTTATTTAGGGTTCCTTAAGTCCACGCCCCGACTGTAAGTCAGTGGGGATTCGGGGTGGTCGCGCGGCTTTGGGATGCGGGCCGTGCTTCGAGGACGTCTCGGGCGGCCGGGGCCTCCAGAGTCCCAACACGATGCGGTGACGGACCGTGCAGTGAGGTCTTGTGGGATGTCGAGGTCACCATACAGTCGGGGCGCTGAAGAAGGAACCCTTTTCGTTGGGGAGGGGCTCCGTGTTCCTTACTTGTTTCACAGTTTGCCTCAGGTGTTCCCTGGGTTTTCGATGGACATCGAGGTCTAACTTATGGAACAAAAGCGGCCTCGTTCCCTATTTAGGGTTTCTTGGGCCACCGCCCCGACTGTACCATCGTCACCACACCATTTTGGGACCTTGGCCGGAGGAGGGACAGCCGAGACAGCGGAATCCCTCCTTGGCGCGGTTGCTCCTCTTTTGAGGCCTCCCAGAGGTTGGTCTTCGCCACGGCCGGAGCCGCCTCTCGGAACCCCCCCGCGCCATCCAAGTAGCCCCCATTGGCCTTCTCAGAAGGCCGCCCCCTCTCGCCATACACGATGTTGGCTGGCCCTCCCACAAGAGCCACCTCAGAAGCGCTGTTCGTTTTTCTCCTCTCCGTTCCACGCTTGCTTGTGTCAACCTTCTCCCTCCTCTCCTCTCTCTCTCTCGATATACATATATATATATATATATATATATATGAATACCAGGTCCCCGGCCCCGGGGCTCCGGCCCACCCCCGGGACATCCGGGTCACGCCCGTGTTACCCCCCCCCGGGGGCTCCAAGACGGCCCAAGAGGCCCTCGAGACGGCCCAAGAATGCTCCAAGACGGTCCAAGAGGGCCCAGAGTCGCCGAAAGATCGGTCCAAGATGCCCATGATGGCTTCCAGACGACCCAAGACGCCCCCAAGAATCCCCAGAGGCCTCCAGGAGGCCTCCCAAGACGGCCCCGAGAGGCAGAAATCGTTGATTTTTCATTTGTTTTTTCTGTGTTTTTTGGTTTCTCGCTCTGAGGCTCCAAGACCGCCCGAGAGGCTCCCAAAACTGCTCCAAGACGGCCCAAGATGCCCCCAAGAGAGCCCCAAGACGGCCCAAGAGAGCCCCAAGACCGCCCCGGATCCGCCCAAGCCCAAGAGTGCCCCAAGAAGGCCTCAGAGGGGCCCAAGAGAGGGAACACGAACCGAAAAATCGAGCTCTCCGCCCGAAGATGCCCCCATGAGAACCCAAGAAGCCCCCAAGACACGATCTGACCGCTCGCAGGGACCCCATTTAGGTCCAGGGGAGATGGTTAGGGGCAGAGGTACCCTCCCCGAAGGGGTAGAGGGAAGGGTGGAGGGACGAAACGCGCTTAACCACCTACGCACAGAGAGCTGGTGGGATTCTCTTTGCAACTCCTCGCATCCCCTGTTCTGTCAAACGAATGATCTGCCTGTGCCGCCCTAGAACCTAAGCGCGCGCGAAGCGCGCGCGTGGTTCTGGTGTATATATATATATATATATATATATATACACACATTTTATATATATATATATGAATACATATATATATATATATGTATATACATATATATATATATATATACATGTATATGTATGTATGTGTGTATCACACTTGTTTGTGTCTTCCTCTCTCTCTCTCTCGCTCCCCGCTCGAATAGTAGGCCAGAGCCGAGAGTATGCCTCACAGGCGAAACAAACACTACAGTCTGTTTGAAGAGTCGGCCTCGGTTTGAAGGTTGTGGGTTGAAGGTATCATCGGACTTACGCCCAGGATTAGTCAGACAGGCGACCGGAATCTTGCTTGACTAATCGTGGGCATAAGTCACTTGAGATCTTCAATCTTGAACGGATGCCCCAGGCCTCTCAGTCAAATTATGAAAGCTCGCCTGGGCGCAAGCCCCTCACAATATTATATTCAAGCTTCAATGTTCAGGCACAGTCTTCTCTCCTTCTCCCTGCTTCTCATATATCATCCTCCTTTCATCTTCCAGTCCCTGCTCCGCCCCCTCCTCCTTATCCATGTTCATCTCTCTCACATCACCTTCCCTCACTCTTCCCCCTTCTGTTCCCATTCGCCGCCATCACCATGTGCATTCTAGTGACAAGCATCGCCTCCTCTATCCTCAGCATCACCGCATCTCACTCTTTCTGATTGTTCTCTCTCTCTCTCTCTCGTCAGGAAGCATCCCCTCCGCCCTCAAGTAGCAATGTTCTTGATTCCTCCCTCTTTGTCGCTGTCTCCCTTTCCGTTTCAAATCGGTTTCAAGGTACGTTTGACGCAGACGTCCCGTAAATGTTTCAATGCGCCTGTCTTGTCTTCAAGCCAGTTCGGTTCGTTGTCCGTGCGGTCCGTTCTACTCTGGTTAATTTTGTTGTTGAACTTGGGATGGGATTCAGAAGAGGGTACATACTTATACCGGTTGTTAGAGGTACCATGCGGCCCTAGGCGCCACGTTTGGATACGCCTCGGGACGCGGGTCAGAGCGCACCCCCAGAGATGCCCAGGGAGCAGCGGCATCGGTATCAGTATCGCTTCGTTCCCCCCACGGTGCGCCAGGCTGGGGCTGGGCATGGCACAGCTTTGCCTGACGTATCGCGCAGGTTTGCGGAAGCGCAGGTCCTGAGCCCGCAGGTTTGCGGGGTCGCGCGGGGCTCCCAGGGGAAAGTGGCACGGAGTATGTCAACCAGTGAGCAGGAGGAGGATGAGCCGGGGGAGGATCAAGGGAGGAAAAATTTTCCCGACCCCCAAAATAGGCGTTCATTGAATGGCCTTGTGCCTTTGCTGAACCCTCCGCCTTGTTCGATTCCTTCCTTGGGTGCGTTTACGAAATGCCCTTCTTGCCGGGGTCCTTTTGGTGGGGTGGTTTCTCTGCTCTCCAGAGGGGGCTGAGGAGTGAGGAGGAGAGCCAGTGGTTCAGGCACGCCTCCGGTGCGCCCGCCTCTGGGGCGCAGAGGCATCATGGTTGCCTTCGCGTGCTGGTGGCCGGTCACTCGGGGCTGTCTTGGGGCTCTGCTTGGGCCGTGTTGGGGCTTTCCTGGGCCTCCCTCGAGCGGCATCTGGGGCCTCGGCGGGTCTGTTGGGGCTGGGGCCCTCTTGGAGCGTCTGTTGGCTATCTTGGGCCGTCCTGGGGCCCTCCGAAGGGCCCGTCTTGGGCGCGTTGGGGGCCGTCAGGGGGCGATTTCGGGGGGCGCTCTGAGCCGTCACGCACGCTCTGACAACCGCAAAGGCGAGCATGCGGAGATCTGATCAACGATTCTTGGTCTTGGGGGTCTCTCGGTGGTCCTCCTCGGGGCTCCCGAGGCGTCTCTTGGGGCCCTCTGGAGCCCTCTGGCGGCCACGTTCAGCCCGTCTCGGCCGCCTTGGATGTCTCCGGGGCCCGTCCTCGGGCGCTCTTACGGCTGTTCTGTCCCCCTCTGGGAGCTCTTGGGGCCGTTTTGGGGCCAGTTTAGGGGCCGAGGTAGGCGGAGTCCCGGGGGAGAACCGCTGGGGGATGCGGGGGCACGTGTCGCACCGACTGGTTCGGATCCGCGGGTTTCCTCCCTCTATCGCCACACTTGCCCTCAGCCCTTGCAGCCTTCCATATCAGCGTCAGCTTAAGACGGCCAAGGCCTCCCTTGTTCCGAGTTTCGCTGCATTAGCGCTTCAGGTTTACCAGTCCGGCCACGCTGGCTCAAGCCTCAAGCTGGCCCGATACCTTCAGGTGAGGCCCGCTTGTCTTCAGCTTTACCTCAGGAATGCGCCCGCTAACTATACTGGCTCTCTGTGCCAGTGTGCTGGCTCTGCCCGTGAGCGCAGAGAGCTGGCTCTTTTCGCAGGATGTTGGCTCTCCGCAGATCTCGTGGCCTTGGGACAGAAACAGATCAAGCAGTTCGAATATTTCTTGGCCCTGGGACAGAAATCGATCAAGCACTTCGAATAGGTCTCACCACGTGCCGTGCATCCCTTACTTGCACCCCTGCTCGACCTCAACGACGACTACATCAGCGCCCCGACCCTTTTCAGATTTCGAGCACGGTGTGATCCAAGCTCTCGGATTCGACGATGTCGGCAGCTGTATGAAAGACACCAACACTTCTGTCCGGGAGCTCTGGCAGGCGTCGCAAGAATATGTGCATGGGAATTGGGTGGCAAAGGCCGAAGCCCTCAAGGATATCGCAAAGGCAGTCGAGCACATCATTGAGGCCCTCGGCCCATGCAGCGATTCCATGACCGCCGCTTCTGACTTCAAGAAGCTTTACGGCTACCTCAAGGATCCGAGGTATTACACGGCACACAACGCCCTCACGCTCGGATTGAATATGGCCGAGGACCATGCGCAGCTCAGCTCATTCAGGACTGCATGTGAAGGCGGGGAGTACCATGTAGCGGGCTATGAGCTCACTCGCGTATTGTTGGACGTTCTGGAAAACCCTGGCATCCCGAGCGCGAACGGCACAGCGGCAACTCGGATCGCTTGGGGTCTGGCAAAGGGCTTCACCACTGACATCGACCTTCCGTGTTTCAAGGATGTTCACGTGGAAATCCCTGCGCTCATTGGCGGCGTGATGGATATCATGAGTGTGGTGGACATTGTCAATGGGCTTGAGAGCTTTTTCCATGGGTTGGAAGGGATCGTGCCAACGTACAAGGCTTGCATGGCTGACAAGCCCAAAATCGTCGATCTTCTCAAAAGCTTCAGCGACTTTAGACATCCAGTGGACCTCGCAAAGATCTTCGGACAACACATTGCGGAGAACAAGTTAGACCTTGCTCTCGAGACGGCCGCAGTCATCCTTGACTACAAGGGCGGAGAGTGGAGGCGCTTCGGCCAGGACATCGGGCAGATCCTCCAGAAGATCCTCATCGGGACCAGCAAGGACGCATCGCCCCCGATCGTTGTGTAGTTTTGACGGGTCTCGGGGCAGCCTGGAACAATCCATGAATCCAGGATTATTTTCAGTTGTTATTTTGGACGTGACGCCATATCGATGCCACTTGTTGTCCACGGGTTTTCCAGTCGGTGCGCGGGGCACCGCTCAGTTTTTCCGTCAGCGACACAGCCATGATGGCGGGAGTCTGTTCGTTAGTGCGGATTGCCAATTCTCTTTACCTCCCCTCGCGCTTGTGCAAGCAATTCCAGGCACGTGTTTGAATCCCTACCTTGGGGCCACGTTTGAAGCTTTGAAGCCCGACCTGCAGACCACTAGTGCCTTCCTCGCTCATCTTCCCTCCCCTCGCCTCCCGCCCCTCGTCCTGGTTCACTCTAGTTCGGCCGCACGTTCTGGGAGGTATGCTCACGGGCCTCACGCCTGCCCCGCTGTCGTGTGCGCTTCCCCCCACCGTTGTTCGCGCTGAAGGAGCAGTCAGTCCATTCAGAAACAGTTCGCAGACGGGCTGCCGTGATAGCCGGAGTGGAGAAGCATTGGTGAAAACAAAGAGGGGGCAGGTCAGCCGAACCAACTTAATGTTGAGCCCAAGTAGCCCCAGGGGAATTTCGGGAGTCCCTTGGAGTTCTCTGGGCCATGTTTGTGTGTGTATGTGTGTGTGCGTGTGTCTCTGAGGGCCAGTTTGGCCCACTGGAGGCCAGCGACAGGGCCAGCTCAATTAGCGTCTCTATCTTGGAGTTCGAGCAATAGTCTAAGGGGTCCCCTTGGGTTACCGACCTGTGTGGTGCTACAGGGACCTTCCGGGCCCAATTGGGGCCTATTGGGCCATCTCAAGGGAATCTTCAGACGCCTGTCGGAAGCCGAGAGGGCGACAAAGCCAAACATCGTCAGGTGTTTCATTGGATTGCGGGCTCGCCTTGTGCGTCTTTTCTTCCGCGATGGTGATTGCGGACTAATTGAGGAACGCATTGGGGCATCAGGTTGCAGGGCTGACCGTCGTGGGGTGGGGATATGTTGTTTGCACTTTGAGCCGAAAGGTGGGGGGATACATTGTGGCGGCAATATGTTCCGTGGGAAAGGGGAACGGCAGTTTTTGCTGGGGTGATATTTGCTTTGCAGTTTTTGCAGAGGGATGGGGACATGTCGTTGGCGTCTTCATTGTTGGGCGAGGAGGAGTACGGCACTTCAAAATTGCTGGGGCAATCGCATTGCGTTCGCAGTTTTGGCCGATTGACCGGGATCATTCGGTGGCAATTTGTGCAGATCTGTCGATTGGCATTCTCGACAGTGTGCGGGGATATTTGTTGCTGTATTTTGGAGCGCACATGTTTCAGCATTCTTTGATCGTTCGCATCGTAATCACGATCGTCACCAGTGCATTCACCACCATGATCACCCGCGCCAGCACAATTGTCACCGTCATCGTCGTGCCACCTCCACTATCATCCGCGGGCACGTGGGCTCAAAGGGGCTCAACACCAGCATCGTGATCATTGACATCTTCACCTCCGCCTGTTCCTTCACTAGAAGAAAAAACAAACGCCATAAATACAAGCTTTTGGCTCTCCGCGCGGATTTCTTGGATCCGCGTTGGGCCCCCACTGGCGGCGCCTCCTACGCCATCCCTGGCGCGCTTCGCGCGCCAGGGAGTCAGGTCCAGCGCAGATCCAAGAAATCCGTGCGGAGCGCCAAAAGTTTATGGTCATGCCGTTTCTTCGTGTTTTTTTGTTCTTGGGATCAGCGGAAAAATCAATCTGGGGGTAAATCAGTTTTGTAGTCGATCCACTACATGAACTCGTAAGAGGTTCGATGGCAACTTTTCGGCGGCGAGCCTGGGCGGAAGAAGTGAGAAGGGGCGGGTCTTCTCGGAAGGCTCGGAAGTCCCCCCAGCCTTCTGAGAAGTTGCCGGAGCCTTCCCCGAAGACAGAAAGCCTCCTCGAAGGCCAGAGGGCTCCTTAGAAGCCCTGCCGCCTTCTGAGAAGGCCTTCTCCTTCTCACTTCCAGACCATCGCTCGCGGCCGAATTTTGGAGGTACGTATCTTGAGATCCTATCGGCGCCGCTTGGGGAGGCATGCTGGACGAGATCTCGGAACGCCCTTGGGCCATCCTGCGCCATCTGGAAGGCAATGTGCAGCCGTATGGGGTCATCTGGGAGCCTTCTGGGGCCATGCAGGACTCTCCAACAGGTCGCAACTCTCTCCTTACTTTTTAGACCCCGGTATGAACGGTGTCGGAGAAGGGCAAACGTACCCCCGAAAGGGCAGACTGGGGTCGGTTCTGAGGAGCTGGCACCCCAGATTGATGTCTGCCCAGGTGTGGCCCCAAGGCTGCCGTGCTCGTGCAGGTTCGCGAGAGATTTTTTGAGCCTGCACCTGCTTGCGAATTGGGGCGCTCCAGAAATAGACTCGCCTTTGATCAATCACGTTAGTGGACATCTTCCTCGGCGGAAGGCCGTGGAGGGTTGGCGACAGCCGCGGCAGCAAAACGATGGCGGTAGAAATACCATGGCCCCCGCAGTTGCGGACAAGAGTGAGCGGGCGGAGGGGTCGTCGGCAGTCTGCGAGGCTCTGAAGGCGCCAGCCGCAACTACTTTTTTTCATGCATTGCGCAGATCCCGCCGCAGGTTTCTAGTCAAAGCCATGTGGGTGGGTCGCGGGTGTGTCGCGCTTGGGTCGCGTGCGGGGCAAAGGTCGGTGGCAGGTCGGTCGCAGGCGGGTCGCGAGTGAGGACGACGACAACAGCGAACAAACAGGACACGAACGACAAACAACAGCTAGTATCCTCACCGCGTCAGCACATTTGAGGCACACCCAGGAATGGTGTAAGATCGGTCGGTCCCCTCATTCTGATGTTGAGGCCGCCTTGAAGTCATAGTTGTTTCATCTCTAGCAGTATCTTGGCCGCCAGAGCCCACATTGATATACTCTGTCCTCAACTTGCTCTTTCTCCTGCGCGCTCCCACTTGAAATTTTCCCGACTGGCTATCACCCCCAGCAGCGCGTTTTTAGCGCGGACTCGACGGTCTGGTCGGTCCATGCATTGCAGACGAGGTCGCATCTAGCAACATCCGCGCCTGGGACCAGAAACGCATCAGGCAGTTTGCAGTGTAGCGTTGGCTCTTGCACCACGGATCGTGTCAACCAGCATTGGCTGAGAGTACAGTCAACCCGCATAGACTTCCTGGGGCTACCTTTGCATCCTTGCCCCTTTGGCCTATCCTTGGTAACTTTCGCTGGCCAACCTCGCTCGGAAAACGTTTTCATGGGCCGACAAGGCCCTTGCATCCTTGCGGCGCATCCTTATCATACGGGTTGACTGTAGATCAGGATGCAGCGGAGCATGCCTGACTCCTGGCCACCGCCCTGCTGGCCCTCTTCTCCGAGGCGGGGGTTTCTCCATCGCCACCGCCCGGCGGATCGATCTTCGGAAACCTCGGCGGGGGGCGGGTACAGTCCACCCGCATGGTAAGGATGAGCGACGTTCCACGGCTTCCCATTTCAGCCTTGTCCCTTTGGCCCATCCTCGGCAACCTTCGCTTGCCAACCTCGCTCGAAGAACATCGACGTGGCTCTCCAAGGCCCTTGGATATTTACCGCGCATCCTTATGCTACTGCTTCGCTATATGAATACGTTTGGCCCCCCCCCCCCCAGGGCCAAAACGTATCCATATTCACCTTTCGCTGGGGTTCCATGACGTTGATTCCTCACGCGTTGGGTATGGATATACCCCCGCCTCGCGCGGCGTTTTCTGGATACTTTTTTCATTCCCTGGCGATAGCGGGCGTGACTAGGGGGAGGGGGATGGGGCTGGTCATGTCACGATTCGGGCTGGCGCCGTCTGGGAATGCTCAGGACTTGCTAATTTCCAGAAGGCGCCAGCGCGAATCGTGACGTGACCAGGGGGGGGCAGTGGGGGAGCGGTCACGGGCATTACCACCGAATGACAACGGGTTGCTGTCCCAGACCCCCGGTGTCATGATTTGTTCATGACGTCGACCCCCAGAGGTCTCGACCCATTCCCCTGGATTGGTTTTACATCCCGATTGATTTTTTGTGACGGCCCCGGGGCCCTGCGACAGCCCCCCAAAACAGCGAAGCCAATCCCGTCGTCACCTGTCCATGACCCGAGGGTCAGGGCCCCGAAACACCCGGCCTGGGGGGCGGTCAGGGGCCACTGCAGCTTCGCGCCTCGGGGGCCCGAGCCGGAGTCACCCCGCCCTGCAGTTGTCCTGGGGAGAGCTTCGGGCGTCCAGCCCTCCCGGAAAGCAGAGCTGCAGGGGCCCGCGGGGCCAAAGCCGGAGTTACCCCGGACCGCAATCGTCCCCGATAGTTGCAAGCACAAGCATGATGATGCTGCAACCTCGACCCCCAGAGGTCTGGACCCCTTCCCTGGGACCGGCTTTGCATGTCATCCTGAGTCGTAGTTTGACGGCCCCGAGGCCCCGCAGAAAGGCCCCCGGAGGCCGGAAACAGCGAGAAACCTTCCGCCGTATTTTTGTTGCACGACGCGAGGGGGTCTGGGGTCTTAGAAGGGTCGGGGTCACAGAGCAGGCTCGCCGGCAGCATCTGCTGCCCGAGCTGCGCCATTTTCCTGGGGCGCCCTTCTTGGGGCTCGCGCGCGGCCGGCGACCCAGGGGGAAGCCGCGCGCCGGTCGCGGCGGGAGGCGGAGGGCCCTTCAGGGGCCCGGAGGGCCCAACGCGTCCCTCGGGAGGATCGCCCTGCATCGCCGATGCATCGACGTCTCGATTTAGAGCCCCAGTTTGAGACTGGTTTTTGTAGGGTCGGGCGATGACCCGGGTTATCGGGCTTGCCCCCCCCCTCCCCTTCCCCCCCCCCGGGATAACCTAACCTTGCCGGTTGTGCAGGTCCGCGGGAGTGGGGGCGCGGGCATATGCGGGGCTGCCCACAGCGCGAGGGTTACGTTATCGGCCGGACCTCCCTCCCCCCCCGGGATAACCCAGATAACCTGGGTTATCGCCGATTCAAGAAAAAATTGTTTTTTTCTCCCTTCCGATGTCGGCGATGCATCGCCGACGTCGCCGATGCATCGCCGATGCGGCGCGATCCTCCTACCCCGTCTACTCGAACCCATCTAGGAGGCCTCTAAATGCCATCTTGCTTGCTTGGTGTTGCTGACGGCATAGTGCCCTGGCTCTCGTGCTGCCCTCCAAGGCGGCACGCTTTCTGATAACAGCGGGTGTTGCCGTCATTCCGATGCCCTGGCTGGAGCGGCTGCCCTCCAAGGGAGTCGCTCCTATGTTCCAGCGAGCTTGCGCCATCTGGTGCTCTTTGCAGCGGAACGCCCCCTGGCAGCCGGTCCTTCCCGGTGCCCTGGGCAGGGCGTCTGCCCTCCAAGGTGGACGCCTTCATGTTCCAATGCGCCTGGGGCGATTCGTGGCTCCTTGCAGCGGGACGCCCCCTGATTCCCCCCTCCCTCCCTCGCGATCGTGCTGACCGCGCGGCTCCCCCAGAGGCTGCGCGCTGGGTTGCCCCCGCCTGGCCTCCTCAGGCCCGCCACCGCCTTGCCGCTCCTGCGGCTGGGCATCCGTCACTGCCTGGCCGACCCAGTGGGTGGGATGCTGCCCGCTCCGCCCGGCTGTGATGCCTGCGCCGGCCGGGCAGGGCGCCTCTCCTCCCTCTCCCTCGCGCCCCCCCAGCGCCGCCACAGCGCCGCCTGGGCTGCCGCCGCGGTGTGTTCCCAGCTGGCGCTGCTTGCCTGCGCCGCGTCGGCTGTCGTCAGCATCCTGGTGGCTTGTTCCAGCGGCATTTCGCCCACTTGCGGGTGTTCGTGCTGTCTCCCCGTCCGTGGTCCAGCATCCAGCTGGCGCCGGCCCGCTGCAGCAAAGCCTGACCCGCCCGGCAACGTGACGGACAGCCAGATGCCCCCGCTCTCGCAGCCTTGTTGGCCTTCTTCCTGATGTGCTGGTTCACCTTGTCCTTGACGCTTCAGCGCCAGCAGCCCTGGCGTCGGTCCCCTGGTGTGGCTGTGATGCCGCGCCGCGTCTACTGCCAGGTCACGTCAGTCCCGACTGGCCGCCCTGCATGGCGCGCTCATCTTGAAATGCTTTCAGCCGTGAGTGCCCTACTCTCCCTCCTGTCCTCCGCGGCCGCTTCTTTCCCTCGCGCTCCTCCTTCTGCCGCCGGACAATTCGTTTGTCGAGCGCCTCCGACAAGTCGAGCGACCGTGCGGATTGCCTGTGCTTTGCTGCGACGAAGCAGTTCCCCAGACCGTTGGCAACGGCCTGCCTCAACCTGCATTTCGCCAGGCCTGGCTCGGTGGTCTCCCGCTTTAGTAATTGGGGTTAATTTCCTCCATTGACGCACGGACACCACACCCTACCAATAAGGTGTGTTCACTCGCGCCTTGTGATTTGAGGGTGCGTTATATGTGTGGCTGCGGCCGACGGCCCTTACTCTCGCGGGGAAAATCAACAGCGCAACTTCGTGTCGTGACGACCCCGGTGTTGATTTGTCACGCCGCGTGAATCGCTCAGCTTTGAACGAGCGACGGCTTTTCGATCGCCAGGTGTTTCCATACTACTGGCCGGTTCTGGGCCGTAGACGAGGTTCGACTTGGAACGTCCGCAGCCGTGTCGGCACCGCGTCGGCACGACACGAACCGACCGTATCCATAGCCGCTGCGTCTTGGATTCTCTGGGAATGGTCGCGCAAAAGGCCCAGGCGCGGTCGATGGATAAAAAAACGCCTCTGCTGGCCAGATCTTCATTCTATTCCACTGCGCCCCTGTATTCAGGGGAAGGGAACCCCAAATTTGAAGACGCAGTGGATATGGATACGTACAATGGTTGCCCGCAGAACGCCGCCGGAGTCGAAGGCGTTGTGTTGGGATGTCGGTCGGGGGGATACCTTCATTCACTCACAAGCCACAGGCCGTCCAGCGCGCGGACACATCAATCTCAAGCAATCGCACGCACGAGAACGGTGAGATGCTGCGCCGGTTGATCAGGGCAGGGGGGGTAAGGGTGGAGGCGAGAGAACACGAGCATCTTGTTGAGGAACACAACGGACCTTGGGAAAAATAGTTGAACATCCCCACACGTTTTCACGGCGGGGACTGCGACGAGGGGAAAGGAAAGGAGCAAGGGAGAAGGGACAGTACACAAAAAAACGCATCAATTGAAGCGGTGACACTGAAATCGCCAAGGGAGGGGAGGAGGAAGAACAGGCGGCATGGAGGACGGGGAGGAAGGGAGAGAGACACAAAACAAACAAACACCAGCATTGCAATCAGGTCCTCTTCAGGGGCATCGGTAGGGTGGGTACCGAACGTTTCGCATGTCCGCGCGGACTTCTTGGATCGGCGCTGGGCTCCCCTGGGAGGGGTGCCCAGCGCAGATCCAAGAAGTTCGCGCGGACCGTCGAAGGCTTGTGTTTATCAGATTGAAGGGGCCGAGCGGTCACTCATTGTCCTTGAGCGCGTGGCTGCAGTGAGGTTCTGTGTTCGTTGCTGTTCGTTGTGTGTTATCTGTTGTGGTCGTCCCCCCCGCGACCCGGCCCGCGACCCACCCCGCGACCCACCCGCGACCCATCCGCAACCCACCCGCGACCCACCCGCGACCTTCCCGCGACCTTCCCGCGACCCACCCGCGACACCCCGCGACCCACCCGCGACCCACCCGCACTTCACCCGCAACCCACTTGCGTTTCACCCGCGACCCACCCGCGAACCGGCCCACGACTCACCCTGGACCCACCCGCGACCCACCCGCGACCCATTTGCGACCCACCCCGCCACCCACCAACATTGTTTTAACGAAACAATCGGCGCTTGCGGCGGGCTTCTTCAGAGCCTCGCAGACTGTCGACGTCCCCGCCGCCTCCTCACTCTTATGCGCAACTGCGGGGTGCTGCGTTTTGTTTCTCTCTTCCTTGAGAATAGGCTCATGGGGGGACGCATCGATCCCCCAATCGCCCATTTCTTGCCAATAGGGGCCTGATAGCCCCACCCCGCCAAGGAACTTCCGGATTTGTTTTTTGGGGGGTCTCTCGGCGATGTATCGCCATTTCAAGGTCGATGTTCGCCCCCCTGAGCCAGGCCCTCCATATCGTTGCCCCGCATCCCTTCCCGCGCGCGCGATTTTCGGGCCACCTTTGAAACGTCTCTTCCACCGCCTCGCCTCCACCGTCGTTCGGATGTAACTCCTGGGAGGTCAACTGCAGCATCGGCGCTGGCATATCCGCGGTCGCAAGTGGGCTCTGTTCTGGACTGATCTGGCCCAATGGCCCTTGATCGGGCTCAATTCGGACGGGGCTACAAGCCTCCTCAAAAATAAACAGAAGACTTCTGAATTCGGTGATTGTGGAGTCAGCGCTACTCCAATGCTGACGGATGCCTGTTGACTCGGACGCGGTGTTGTCCAAAACCGACCCGAACCCTCTCCGCATTGAAGAACGTGCTTTCTGACAAGTGCCCGAAAGCATCGTACTCCAAGATTTCAACTTCCATTTCTGGATATTTTGGACGAGGCTTGTAGGACGAGGATCGATCCGTTCCAGAGCGTGCCAGAACGCTCTCGGAGCGTTCTGGAACGCTCTGAGAGGGCCGCGGCGCCCGAGACATCTTCCAGAGCCGCCGGACTTCAATGATTCTCGATTTATCTTCACCCGATGCTATCCTTGTCTTGTCTTCGCCTTACACATTGTTCATTTCTAAGAATTCGAAAGGTCTTTGATTTTTGTTGGAGGGGGGCAAGATCCTTTCATTTCTAATTGTTCTATCCTGGGCTCTTCCTGGCCACTAGGGGCCCCAGGAACAATTAGAAACGAGCACAATCAGAAATGAGCACGATTAGAAATAACTTACGTGTACGGTTGGACTGGGGTATAAGATGGAGGTCGGTTTGGGGAGGGTACCCTAATGTTCTTTGTGTATGTTTGATGTTCTTGAGCGTCGTGAGGAAGGGCACCTTCGAGTGTTCGTCAGTTTTGGCCGGCGGAGGATCTCATGTTCTCGAAGATGGTTTTCTGCCAATGGTCCGGCTGTATCAGTCGCCCATCAATAACCCTCGGGTAGGGGTCGATTACATCATACAAATACCACAATATTGATTTCCTCTGCGAACCTACGGGAGAAAACGCGGGATGTTCCGTAGATCTGTGGACAGTTTCTGCGATGTTTTTGTAGGTTCGACGCAACATCCATTCTGGGGTCAAACTGTAATGTCGTCGTTCTCCTACGCGAAGCCCTTGCTCGTTCTCACGAGCACCTGCCAAGAACGCTCTGAGGAGGCCTCGGCGCCCAGTACATCCTCCAGGGCTGCCAGATGTCAGAGATTCTCTGAGTCACCCTCACCCGATCTGATCACTGCTCGCTCTGATGGGCACCTTCCAGGAGTTGTGCCTCCCGACCGTGGGCCCCCCTCGCCTCCACCGGCCCTCTCGCTGGCTCTGCTGCCCCCTCGCCTGCCACGAGGAGGAGAACCAGCCCCGCGACCCCGGGCGGGGGGTTAGGGGCGCCCTCACCGACCCCCCCGGCGAACGTGCATTCGGGCGACGAAATCTATACATATCCATTGCTCCCTGGCCAGGCTTGTCCTGAACCCATGAGATGTGTATTCGCCCTCCTGGCCAAGCCAGGAGGCCCTGGCGTATACCCCGCTGCCGGGTTCAGGATTGTCCTGGCCAGGGAGCAGCGAACATGTATAGATTTCGTCGCCCTAACATGAATCCATGTTGGTTTCGAGGGTACACATTGCGCGAACGTTCGCATCGCGCAGTTGGTCTCGCAGATCTGGGGGCCGTGTTCCTGTACTTGGCTGTGCGCGCACGTCCCTTGTGGGCTCCATGAGCAGTCAATCCCCTTCCGTGGCGTCCCCCCGGCCTCGCCCCAAGGCGTACGTGTGCTGCCGCAGGGAGGTTTGAAAGGCGAGAGTGACGTCACGGAAGAGGATTGTTTCTCTGGGGGTCAGTTAGGTCGCGTTTGAATGGGAGAAGGCCAGCAGTAACGTCACGCCTTGAACGGCGCCGCCCGGGGATGCTCGGGACCGGCCAATTCCCAGTCGGCGCCGGGCACGAATCGTGACGCAGGGGCAGTGGAGGGAGAGGGAATCCCAGGCAGAGGGGTTGGATCGTTGGCAGAGGGGTTGAATCCCCGGCAGCAATTTTCAATGGCTGTCGAAGCGTTTCTCCGTTTCCTCAGCGTTGATGTGCGGAATTGCTGTGATACGCTTCTAGAGCCTCCCGGAAGGCCTCTTGGGCGTCCCGCGGGAGGCTTCCTGGGCGTCCCGAGAGGCTTTTTCGGCGTCCCGAGAGGCTTCTTGGGAGTTCCGGAAGGCTTCTTGGGCGTCCCCAGAGGCTTCTTGGGCGTCCCGAGAGGATTGAGAGACCTCTTGGGCCTCCCGCGATGCTTCTTGGCCGTCCCGAAAGGCTTGCTGGTTGGGCCTTTCGGAGGCGTCTTGGAGCTTCCTGGAGGCCTCTGCGAGGCCCGCTGGCGGTTTCGGGGTCCTCTCGGGTCGTGGGCCCTCAGGCCCTCTTGGGCCATCTCGGGTCCACCTTGGAGGCGTCTTGGAGATCTCGCGGGCCTCACGAGCCGCTTGGAACGGTACTACGGCCAATAAGGCGAACACGCTAAGCTTGTGCGCTCTTGCACTGGGCTGACGATGCTTGTCTCGTGGGGCCCTTTTGGTGTCGTTTGCGTCCCAACCGAGAGCTTGAAATCCAAGCATTTGTCTTCACCACGTCTTCTTTCGCATGCATCGCCAATTTTAACGATCCCGTATTCGCTGCCATTCACTTTCCGCAGAGTTGTAAAAGTCCAGCGGC